CGTGGCAGGCTTCTTGCTAACTGTTCTTATATCTTAAATTAATCCATTTCCATAAATCTATGCCTTGCCACGTGGCTCATGGCTTACTGGCATCTTCACATGCTGCTTGTCATGGCAGCAGCTGGCAGTAACTCCTTTTCCCTTCCTGTTCCCTTAATTCTCCTCTCTGTTAGTCCCGCCTATACTTCCTGCCTAGCTACTGGCCAATCAGTGTTTTATTTATTGACCAATCAGAGTAACTTGACATACAGACCATCCCACATGCATTTCTGCATTATGTTATGGATACAAGCTCATGGAGGCCAGGGAGATTTGAATAGGAATGGGCCCCATAGACTCATGTGTTTGAATGCTTTGTCCATAGTGAGTGATACTATTAGGAGGTGTGGCCTTGTTGGAGTGGGTGTGGCCTTCTTGGAGAAAGTATATCACTGTGGAGGTGGGCTTTGAGGTCTTATAAGCTCAAGTCTGGTCAGTGGGACAGACAGTTGTCCTTCTGCTACCTGTGGACCAGCACCATGTCTGCCTGTATGCCACCATGTCCCGCCATTATGATAAGGGACTAAACCTCTGAAACTGTAAGCCAGCCACAATGAAATGCTTTCCTTTATAAGAGTTGCTGTGGTCATGGTGTCTCTTAACCCAGTATGACTTTGAGCTACTGATCTTACCACCTTGACCTCCCAAGCATTGGGGTTACAAGCATGCTCCCCCACAAATCTGAACACACCTCTGTTCCAGGAAGCCAGGCTTGGGGGCTACCAGACTCATCACTGGAGGGAATGATGAGCCCTTGGTTATAGATACTGCTTCCCCAACTTTGTCTCTCTCTGGACCTGTGATCATTGTGTTATTTCTGCTCTCAGTGACAAGGTCTACAAGAAAAGTCCCCTGACAACTTTTTCTCAGCACACTAATTGTCCAAGTTAACTGAGTTTCCAGAGCCTGCCCCAGGATGCTGCCAGAAGTGACTGGAAGGGAAGATTTCCTGTACTCCCTGCAGGGGCTGGGGCCCAGGACACTGGGAGTTAAAATGTGAGGACTTGAGATGATGCACCTGACTCTGCCTTTGTTCCAGCAGCAGCAGCAACAGAGCCCCGAGGGGTCTAGTGTCTAGAAGAAAAGTTCTGGATGCAAACACAATCCAGAGACCCCTTTCTTTTAAAGTTCAAAGCTAAGTGTGGTGGCTTTTGCCTGTAATTCCAGAATCTGAGAGGCTGAGGCAGGAGAATTGCCAGAAAGTTAAGGCAAGCCTGGGTCATACATCATGAGTTCCAGGCTAGACTGGGAAAGAAAAGCAAAATAAGCAAACAAAAACACAAGAAACCCTCAGGGCTCATGGATCTATGCAGGAGAGGAGGCAGGAGGACTATAAGAGCCAGAGGGTGGGTGGCCCCAAGGCAACAGTGTCCTCCAGACACAACAGGACTGACGGACCTGTCATCTCACAGAGTCCATGCACTACTCACACGGCCTGCATAGGTTCAACTGGACCTCATCTCAACACTGATAGAGAAAAGTGGACACAGACTCCCACCCTTAACCAATGAACTATCTATAATTGGTACCTGTTGGCAAAGGAAAAATCAGTTTTCACCAATGGAGTCTCACTGGGTATACCAACCATACACCAGGGAGTCCACGTGCCCAGAAGTAGCTGGCTAACACAAAATAAATTCAATGGTATTTTTGTGAACTTTTTGTTTTGTTTTGCATTGTTTGGGGATTTTTTTTCCTTGTATTATTGGTCTCTTGCTTGTGCTCCTCTGCATGCACGCCAGTCCTCACACACAGGCAAACACCGTACACACATGAAAACTGAAAAGAAAGAGAATGAAGCGCTCAGCGAAGCCTGTTCCAGGCTGTCCAGAACGTCAGGGGACTCAGAAGGAGTTCAGCCCTGACGGGAAGAAAGGCAGCAGCTCAGGCGCCTCAGTTACAGCAGGCATGCTCACTGTTCACTAGATTGCTGCCTGACCGTTCCAACAGAAGACTCAGCTGGGCGGTGGTGGCGCATGCCTTCAATCACAGCACTCGGGAAAGAGGCAGGCTGATCTCTGAGTTCAAGTCCAGCCTGGTCTACAGAATAACTTCCAGGACAGCCAGGTCCACACAGAGAAAACTTGTCTCAAAAAACAAAACAAAAAACCCAAAGCAAACCAAATAAAAACCACACAAAAACAAACAGCAGAACCCACATAAGATTATGACAAGTATGGAAGTCAATGCTCCTGTGGAGAGAGGTGGCTCACTCACTCACACAACAGCGATCGATCAAGAAGAGGATAGGTGTGAAGTGAGAAGGGAAGGAAGGGGCTTCTCAACACAAGGCTATGATGGCCTGTAGAGCAGGAGAGAAGGATATTTGAAAAGAGATACAGATGCATCTTTGTTTGAAGAGAACTGACGACATGCACACACAGAATGGGAGACAAAGGGCTGAGAGCTGAGGTGGGATCTGGTGGGCAGAACCACAGCGGGAATGAAATGTTTATGGCGCACACTAATCTTCATTGTTATGTATTCAGCTCCCCCAAATTGCACACAGCAGCTATAGAAAAGGGGAGGCAATTATCAAATTTTTCCATGAGCAACATGTGATAGCAGTAAGAAAAGACTGTGGACACAGGAAAGATGGCCCAGACCAACCGAAACGACACTGTAAGAGAAAGGAAGACTGGTAGACACTGGCGTGACAGGAAACGAAGAATGTTTATAAACGACCCCAAATCCAGTGAAAGAACAAAACAGAAAGCTTTGCAGAAACAGTCAGTGGGGCTGGATGGGCACCCCCTACCTGCAGTCTCTACTCTAACAATCAGCCCGTGGAATATCTTAAAATAGACACAGTCTTTAATTTTTAAAATTGCGGGCCGGGTGGCAGTGGCACACGCCTTTAATCCCAACACTCGGAGGCAGAGTCAGGCGGATCTCTGTGAGTTCAAGGCCAGCCTGGTCTACAGAGAGAGATCCAGGACAGGCACCAAAACTACATGGAAAAACTTTGTCTCCAAAAGCCCCCGCCCCCAAATGGTGTAGAAATATAGAAAGTATTAGTGTTTCTCAAAAACCCTAAGCTTTCAACAGAATTATCTCCAGGTAATGGGCACCTTTGCCATAGTTGTGTGTACAAGAAAGGGCCCTTCAAGGCCCTCTAATTCCAGTAGAATTTAATTGTCTCAATTTTGATTCTGACAGCATTCACAGCTGATATGCTTTCTGTTTTTTTTTTAAAGATTTATTTATTTATTATGTATACAATATTCTGTCTGCATGTATCCCTGCAGGCCGGAAGAGGGCGCCAGATCTCATTACAGATGGTCGTGAGCCACCATGTGGTTGCTGGGAATTGAACTCAGGACCTTTGGAAGAGTAAGCAGTGCTCTTAACCTCTAAGCCATCTCTCCAGCCTTTTTTTTTTTTTTTTTTTTTTTGCTTTCTGGTTTTGATCTATCAATTATTGAGATTGAAATCATTTGAATGTGACTATGGAGTTAGCTATCGTTCCTTATTACTATAGCAGGTATTTTTGCTCCTTCATATTTTGAAGCTTTGCTGTTAGGATTATACTATAGGTTTTAGTTTTTTAGATAGGGTTTCAGTAGATAGTCCTACGTGGTCTCAATCTCATAGACATCCACCTGTCTCTGCCTCCCCATTGCCTGGAATGAAAGGCACGCACTATCACGCCCAGCCAAGTTTATTTTCACTAGATTAATTGCCCTTTTTATTATCACTGGCAATGTTCTTTGTCCCTGAATCTGCCTTGATTTTTTTGGTTTGTTTTATGAGACAGGGTTTCTCTGTGTAACAGCTCTGGCTGTCCTGGAACTCACTATGCAGACCAGGCTCTCCTTGAACTCACAGAGAGCCACCCAATCACCTGCCTCTGTCTCCTGAGTGCTGGGATTAAAGGTATGCACCACCACTGCCTGGCCTGCCTTGATTAAGTCTTCTTTTGACTATTGTGAGGATGGTCACTTTAATCTGCTAGAGTACTTACCTTTAACATATTTTCTGTAGTTAACACGTGGTTGAGTCTGCTTATTTTCAAACCTAATCTGACAATCTATACTTTATACTTTAGGTTTATATCATTTATGATACAACTTAAATCAATTAGTGGTATTACAAGGATCCTCTTTCCCTTGACATTCGTTTTCTATTACGTTCTGGAATAAAAATAAGTTTGTGTAAATATAAGAAACAACAAAAGAGATTTTGAAAGTTCGTTCGTGTCACCTTACAACAGAAGTAGGTTTACTTCTACAAAAGCGAAGTGAACGTTTGTATGTGTTCAGGACACCTTCACGTGCTAGACACTCACTCATCCTTCAACACGGGAGGCTCGACAGCACTGTGTAACGGACTGTTCTATCAGTAGAAATCGATGTGGTCCTCAGTCACATTTTTTAATTTAGACAGCAGGGACGGTGAGCCCAGGAAGGGTCCAGCACACATGGCTCTCTGAAATCTCTGATGTAACCTGCTCGTCCTCTCCACGTTTAAAACCAAACAATTCTGTAGTTCTGTCTTTTGAAATGTATCATAGTCCCTACCATCACACAGCGAGGTGGAATCAAAGTGTAATCAAAGCAGTTATGTCTCGATCTGATTTTATTCCAATTCTGCACTTTCAACTTGGGTTCAGCTGGGCAGTGGTGGCTCACAACTTTAATCTCGGCACTCAGGAGGCAGCGGCAGGCAGATCTACGTGAGTTCGAGGACAGCCTGGTCTACAAAGGGAGTTCCAGGACAGCCAGGGCTACACAAAGAAACCCTGTCTCAAAGAAACAAACCCTTTGGCTCGTCTGTACATTCCATAGGAGAGGAAATACATTACCCGAAGAACACGGAAGGACGTTTGGAGAACACCCGGGAGCGTACGCTTTAAGCGCGCAGCCCGTGGGAACTCCTACAAACCACCGGGTGCAGCTCCCAGAGGGGCTGCCCAAGTTGCTCGCTGGGAGTTCTCTGAAGCGGGAGGGTTTCCCGGGATAATGCCTCAAAAGACTGTATTTCCCAGGGTCCACCGCACCGGAAGTAACTGGTGGTCTCGCTACTGCGGAAGCTCATAGTTTCCCGGTGGGAGTAAGAAGTTGCTGTTTGGCGTAATTCTCCACTGAGTGAGGCGGGAGCCAGCGGGCTGGGTGTGGACGGTGGGGTGGGTGGATGGGTCACCATCATGTGTGTGAGTGTGTAGAGACAGTGACATGTGTGTGCGCGCGTGTGTGGACACCTCGAGCTCTCTGCATTGTCTGGGTCCCTGCCAGTCGCTCTCTGCTCCTGCTTTCTCTCAGGGCCACAGGGCTGAAGAAGAGGACCAGGCTTCAGTGACGAGAGGTCAGGGACGGAGTCTGAGGGAAGCTTCCCCTGAGGTCCGGACTGGAGCTTGGGGCGAGCGTTTGAGGCCGGAAGCGCCTCCGAGGGTCGCCTAGGAGGGCAGCTGCTTGTGGAGTCCATAACTTTCTCAGAGCTCTGGCCATCGGGAGTGTGGTGGGAAGTGAGGAGAGCGCTCGCTCGCTCGGATGCACAGCCTGGGATCTCCTGCTTGCCCGGGCTCCCGAGTCCGCGTTACTCAAATGAGGGCCTGGAGAAGAATGCGAACGTTATTGCTGCACTTCTAAGATTCGAGAGTGAGTTTGCTCTTTCTTCCTGTTTGAGGAACGAGGTTGTAGTTTCAGAATATAGAACTGTCTCCCCGTCCTGTCCACTTTAATTCGAGGAGAGGTGTCTCGTCTTATTGCAACTTGATATGCCTGCCATGTTTGATTGATATCCCCGGGAGGCCTGCCTGCCTTTTCTGAAGGGAAAAGTGGAGTGGGTGGGAGGTTGGGACGCCGGGACCGGCAGGGTAGGAGGGAGTGGAAACCGCGGTTGATGTGTAATGTATGAGAGAAGAATTTTTTAAAAAAGAATATAGAACTGTCTTAAATGAAGGAGGAACGTGCCAGTTGATAACTTCACCATTTTGGTCCTTACACTGTCCCTTCTCTTTCCACTTAATATTCAGATAACTCTGTTAGAGATCACCAACATCTTCTCTGTACAATCACTCCCTGATGTTATAGATGGGGCCCTCCAGAGTTAACATGAGCGCTTTCAAACCCTGAGTTCCTAAATTGCTGTTTTGATGACATCACACATCAGGTGGCCTTTGAACTTTAAAGGCCTTCCTTTCAAAGCAGGGGAAGATTGGAGGTGGTAGGTGATTTCTGTTCACTCCTGAGGATTTCAGGAGTGGGAAACTGATAGCACTAAATTTGGCATCTTTGAGAGCTAGTGATTTTCAGGGTGTCTGTGTGTGGAAACGGGTAATATTGGCCAGATCCAGACGTGCAGTGCTGTGGTTGAATGTGGAGATGTGGATCTGTGTGTCCGGGTTGGAGCCTGGGTTCTGTCCTCTTAAGGCTATGTAGCCTTGTCGTGTACCTTAGGATGACTGTTGTGAAGCCTGTTAGTGCAGTGCCAGCCGTATAACAAGGGCCTGATGTGTTTTTGTTGTTGCTTCATGTGGTTATTTTGGGTTTTCTGTAGTAAAAGGGAGTGTTAGAAATAACGTTATTACTGGTTGTATTTTTAAAACAATGATTAAAAAATTTAAAAAAAAAAAGCGAGGCTTTCTGGTATACCCTTGAATCTCAGCACTTGAGAAGCCAAAGCAGCAGGACCTCCGTGAGTTCACAGTCAGTTTGGTCCACATAGCAAGTGCCATGCTAGCAGGGCTACACCGTGAGACCTTGTCTCAAAAAACAAAAACAAACAAACAAAAGTAAAAGAAAGTGAATGTACTAATGTACAGAAGAATTCTTTTAATTTTCAGATTAAATGTTTTGAATTTTGTGGCAATGATACATGGAGTCTTTATGTCCTTTGGGATGTCTCAATCTACCTGTCACATTTTTTAGTGAGCACACTTAATGTCTACTCTCCGAGTCTTTCAGAACCATTAATCATAGTCACTGTGTTGCATGATGTATCTGGAGCTTGTGTTGTGGAGCTGAACTTGTGTAGTTCTTGATCAGCATCTTCCCAACTCCCTTATGGATCTACATCTCCCATTCTCAACCATGATGCTGCACATCCCGCCTCAGCCACTCACACCTCCATTACCTCAGCCACTCACACTCCATGACCTCAGCCACTCACACCCCAATTACCTCAGCCACTCACACCTCCATTACCTCAGCCACTCACACCTC